TTTTTTTTTTTTTAAATTGGATAACTTTCAGGAAAAACCGTTTTAGTCACTTGTTGCATTTTTTTTTTTTACTTGTTTTTAAACTAGACAGATACCAAGTGGTTTGGTTTTTAAAGTGTTTCCGTCCATTTTAAATTCAGTTGCAGAAGGTGAATGTGTGCGTAAATGTGTCCCATCCACACGTGCCAGTAACTAATACAAACTGAGGGTTGGGAGGTGGGATAAAAGTGCCTTTCTGAGGGAAGTCTGTATAGTGCAATAACCTGTTGATGAATGTCAAGCCGGCTATAAACAAGACTTGAGATGGGTTTTACTGATGGAATTTACTTTTGTACTTGAGTCGAGTTTAAAATTAAATCCAATAGCACTACACTCTCATTACCTGGTATAAGCTTTTAGAACAACAGTTATCATAGAAGTATATAACCGAGTAATATCTTAACTATGGAAAAAAGAAATCATTGTACGCTGTTGTACTGTACTGTAATCCTTATCGGTTTACATTGCTTTCTTGATCCAGAGTTGCATCCTTAAAACTGTGACCCCACCCCCCCCGGAATGCAAGTATTTGCTTACAAGTGTTCCCCCACCCCTAAAAAAACAAACAAAAAAAAAAACTAAACTAAACTCAACATTATGAAAGCCATCTGCCAATTTAGAAGAGTCTTTATTTTTTGGCACATAATGTCTTATTTATTTTTTTTATTTATACATGTTTTCTTTTTATTTATTGTGTAAAATGTTGCGGTCTTGACACGAGGAAATGTTCGATTCCGATCACCTGTTTTTGTATGTGACGTACTTTGGGGGGAAAAATGGGACAAAAATAAAGTTTATTGAAAGTTTACCTTGTTTCTGCTTTTGCGTTTTTTACATTGGCGATTTTAAATATGAAGGATTACACTTTTTGGTTAAACTAGTGTCAGTTGCATATATAGACCAAATCATTTTTACAAAACATGCTAAAACTTTCATAAATCAGCGGTAGATTTTATTTGCTTTCATAGCTGCAAAAATGGTGCTTAACTAAGTTTTTTTTTTTTAAATTTCTGTAGGTTACAATAGAACCTTTTAGTTTAAAATTGTAGTATATTTAACTGCAAGGGAATAAATGTTTGGTATTTCTGTTTAATACAGTGGAGTGTTTGAAATTTACCCACTCAGAAATGCAGCCTTGGTGTGCCTGATGAATCTTGTTKGGCAGAGTTGTGATTATGCCTGCAGCTGACTCATTAATGAGATTTCACAGAAGACTTAATGGTATGTTGCCTTACTGTAAGCACTGATGCAATGCTTTCACCAGCTGAGAGTTGCCATAGATCATGCCTCCAAACTATACAATAGGATATATTTTTGGTGATGCACATGAATTTATTTCTTTTTAGAGAAAGTAAATGGAATCACAACATTGTCAGTATAAAGATGTTTCTGTTGAGACAAACCAGTCAAAAGCCACACAATGAGTTATGTAATTTCTGGCCAAAACTTCCAGAGTAAAAAAATAAATGAAAAAGTTAAAGGCCTATGAAGAAACGCATATTGCTCACCTCCTTTGCCAGATTTTTCAACTAAGATCATCCTATGCTCAAACTTTATACATAAATGGTGTCCTGCTTAATCACACACATTATTGTGAGATCTTATGAAACGGTGCAAAGAGTTTGTGCTGAGAATGACTCTCAACTAGACCAATTTTTGGCTCAGTATATTTAAATTTACATAAACCATAGCTATTTTTGTATTTGCTAAGTTCAATTCGCTGTTGGGTTGACTTTAATTGTTATGTTGTAGATGCTATGTTGTAGGCCAATGGTAGATTTTTGAGTTTTACTAAAATCTCTTGATTCATGAGACATTGTGCGAACGGAGACAGACAGCAATGGCTCCAAAGTTTCAAACAAAAATGGTGCACAACTTGTAGACTACAAGTTGTAGTGCTTGAAGTATGTGTTGCAAACGATCCTCACTTAGTAAAACAYCAAAACTTAGCTCAATATTTCTCAAATTGGCTGTGTTAGCCATTTTTGTTTCTTAACATCAGAACGTTGTATAGCAGCCATCTTGAAGTGAGTGGAGCCCAAAAGTTAATCAGTTTTGAATGGCCATCCAACTTCCGAGAATTTCATTAAAATCCAAAATCCARTGGTTCGTGAGATAYTTTGCAAACATTATAAACCAACCAACACCGCCAGGGGTTGAAAAGATGTAAAACAGTTTGTCATGATTTTTGTTTACAAATTTGTCACTGTTACCAATTTTTAATTACAGTATTTTTTTAATGCGTTAAGAGGAAACACAAAATATCAAGGAAGAAAAAGTAGAACAGCCTCRGAGGCCTTGTACATTTTGTAGAAAATCTCCTGACAAACTGGTTCCTCTCAAGTGGCAAAAATGTCCCATGCACCTTTACTGACTTGTTTTCACTGTGTATATGAGGTATCTGTTATAGACTCTTTTAACTGTGATTACATTTTGAACCAATGATATTATCCATTTGAAACTTTATCATTATAGCCATAAAATCTAACACTGATTTCATCTCTTGAGGAAAGATAGTGCAGGAGAACTAAAACAGCTGATTTAGGAAAACAAAGCTGACAGGATCAGACACATTCTCCAAGTGGTGGTGATTAATCTGCTCTATCAGGAYCTTCAAGGTCATAAAACAGCAGAAAATAAAAAACAAAAGAGGTCATCCCAGATCAAGAGGGCAGATGTAATAAAATTAAAGCTGTGCATTGATTTGATGAAGATTTTCTGAAGTGCCTTTTGATTTTCTGTATTAAAAACACTAAACGTTTTGATAACATGTGGCTGGTGTGTCCAATGTGAAAATTTTTAAATTCATGCAGGATCTGCTGTCATGACTTAAAGGCGTGTCATCACCACAATGTTTTCGTGTTACAAGTGAAATGTAATTTTGTGCACTTATTTTTTTTTTTTGTGTGTGACGCAGTTACTGTTCTGAACGAGCTCTGCAGYTTGTCACCTTGAGACATTCATTTCTTTTCAAAGGAAATCCTCTGAAAGAACAACAAATACTGTATGTCCCGCAGTTGACAGCACAATCTCTGCAAGCCTTCCTTGGGAGAAACATCTTTACACTGGCAAAAAAAACAACAAACCAAGCATAAACATTATCTGAAGTGTAATGTATTAGAGCTCATCTTTGGTATGCACAATAAAAGCACTGGAAACTACTTTATTCAACAAACTCAGCTATTTAGGCATGCTAAATTAGAACAAGAACTTCAGTTTCTATAATAGACTTGAAAAAAAATTCTCMTGAAAGTCCAGGCATTCAAAGTTACTCATTCAAAAGAACACGTAAATCAAATTTCTTAAATTTATAATTTTTCAAAAACTCCATTTCTAACCTAAGCTGCTTTTTTAAATGTGACCTACAAATGACAGACCAGTTTGAAAACATCTGATGTTAACTCTGAAACTGTTTACAATCTCTGCAGGAGCTGTGTTCTTGAACGAGGAAGGAAACGTGACAGAGACTCACGTTGTAAAAGACTGAGAAACATGTTCCTCAGCAGAAAGAAGAAGCCAGTTTTTCTGCATAACTTACCTATCATTGTTAAGATCTCAAACAACAAGGGCTCTTAAGCAGTTTGTAAATTGCACTATAGTTTCTATTTGCCACAATATATAACCAACCTTTTTCTKGGGGCTAAAGTTGATTAGTTGTGGCAAGTGGGCTGAGTCATGGTGATGACGAGACTCTAAGTCCATTCAAACCAAGGTATTAAAAACAACTCATTTTCAATGAGTGCCACACAAGGATTATGGTGGCCCCCGCAAAGAACCACTTGTAAAAAAAATCAATGTTTTGTGTTGAACTTCGACTGAGCCCCACTAACAAACTGAGCTCTATGTGGTATTTTCTGCATRGATACATAAATAAACATGGAAAAAATAATACAAAAATACTATTAAAAGTAAAAGTAAGAGAATTTYACTGACTGATGATTTGTGGTAAGTAGTTGCCGTTTTTAATATTAAAACACTCATTTGCATACAGGGAMTTCCCATTGGAGGGGCGTTCAAGTTTAAATTTGCGACTTGTAAATGGGAAATTCTCACTTCCAAGTACAACTGGGCCACTCCAAACTTAACTGGTGAAAATGCATCGAAGTCGATGCTTGTGCGCCAACAGTGACGTAATCCTGTACTCCCCACCCCTGTACATTGTCACGTCGAGCATTTGTTCTTCTTTACAAAATTTCACATACCACGTCTCAAATTACCACCTTTCGGAGAATAAATGCGTCAAGTGTAAAYGCTTACACTGCTTGAGGGTGCGTGCTCCCTCAGCCAACCCAGCTTGACACTCAAAAGCACGGCTRTAACCAAGCCTTTACACTGTGAGTTTCGCTGGCTATTTCTGAGMCCTGTGCACCTCTACCCARTGGTGGGATGTTGTCATTTTGCAGGTAAAATAATCAACAGGCATTTTGGAAGATGTCATTTACATGGTCAATACTGGCTTAAAAGCACCATTTGCTTATTTTAAGATAATAGGACATCTTTGAAGCTTTCACAGGCCACATAAAATGACATGGCAGGCCACATTTGGCTAGATAATCATCTTAGATATATTTGACACAATGGTTTACGGTAATCAGACAATGCATCAGCCATGGCTGCAACAAGCCCAGAGGCATGAAAAAGCTGGTACAAACAGGAGTTTTTCTTTGTATTTGATTTGTAACAGKAGCAAATTTCAACATTTGAGATAAAAAAATTTGGGGGAAAAAAAAGTCATTTGTTTATCAGACAGCAACGTTAAGATCTTTAGACGACCCACAGCAGTTCCAGGAATGAATTATTTCCTCAGCAGTGTT